TACGCGGAGTTTCTCCATCACAAGAGATTTTCCTAGGCAGAGCAAGTGTCCAACACATAACACAGCGTTTTACAAGCCCTTTCCACATTGGCTATATTATTCAGTCAATGTACTAAAAAAAAAATTAAATAGAAATAAATAGATGCAGTGTTCCAGTGCTGTCCAGGAAGAGCTGATCCCTCCTTCAGAGGGATCGATGTCTGGCGCATTTACACCCTCTAAGGACTGCCTGGCCAAAAATAACGCTGAAACCAACGGGGGAAACAGCCAATTTGGCTGTTCTTATCCCAACCAGATTAAAATTACTCTCAATTTACTATCTTACTAAACTACGTCTGAAATTTTTACAGTAGGCTGTCTGTGGGCTGGCAAGCTAGCTGTGTGCAACTTCACATAAGCGCGTGTAAAAAGAAGAATGAGAAATAACCATAAATATATATATATTATATATATGAAGAAGGCAAGGAAAGAATGAAAAAATCCTTCACTTTGAACAAGCAGGGGCTGGGACACCCTGGGTAGTGACAGACCCCAGATCAACCTACAGTTTCTGGATACATTTCCCTCCCTCTCTTCTCCTCCTCATGCCATATGTGTCCCCTGTCAAGGGGGACTCCCCAGCTTGGACTCAGGACACACACAGCTCAGTGTGCCCAGGGTGACAAGTCTTGGCAGGCCAAGGGGCTTTAGGGAACTGATGTTTTCCTAACAGTGTCTGGACAAATCTATGCAATGAAATGATTGTACATTTTGTGAAATACTTTCCTGGATACAGCAGCAACACCGGCTGCTTCAGGAGAAAACAGCTGTGAGGACTTGGTCTGCACACACTTGTAGGTCTAATGTACAGTACCATGATACCAGGGACCAGCGCAGAAGAGTTGGCATCAACCTCTGGCTGCAGGGCTTTTGGCATAGCATTGTTAAGGCAGGAACCATCACCATACCCTACCCATACCCTACCGGTGATCAACAGGGGCCCCTTGAAACATGGGGCTGGCTGAGGCAGACAGAAGCCAGGTCCTTTGGCTCCTCTGAAAAGAACAAAAGCCACCAGCAGAGCACAGATAGGCCTGAGTGGCTGTGTGGGTTCTTTGGTTTTAAAAGAAGGAAGGAAGCACTGGGGAAGGTGGAAGAGAGGAAAGAGGAAAAGCCCAGTGGCAGGAATAGCCGTGGAGCTGGGAGGTGTGGGGGAGGATGCCCTGGGACTTGGAAGATAGGCCTCAACACGGGGAGAAACTGCTCTGGATGATCCATGGAGCTCTGACTCAGTGCTGAGGAAGAAGAAATCACCCAAGTGCTCCTCAGCTGAACCGAGGCCCAGGTTCCCCAGGCTGCCCACAGAGCAGGACTTTAACCACCCTTGTGGGAGCCGTGATTCACCTTAGGGCAGCAGAAAAGCCACGAATATGAGTCAGGGCAGATATACAAAACCACAGGCTTGTCACAGCCCCAGGCATGTCAGTCTGCAGACCATCACTGCGACATTAAAGAGTGACTACAACCCTGGACATTAAAGAGTTTTAATCACGTTGTATTCCAGTTCTACTTTTTGGAAGCCACAGCACTAATAAAATAAATACCACTTATGCAAAGCACAGGGGACAGAGGGGCATGCCTTTCCCTTGCAGAACCAGTACCTCTTTGATGACACTGATTTGTATTTATCTAAGATTAATTCTCTCTTTTGGTATCATTTCCCCTCTTAACCAATGGAGAGGGGGAGAAAGTTTAACATCCAGAGTGTTTCTTGGCCCCATTTTAGAAGATGCAGTGCACACCAGCAGCCATTTAGTTTCACAAAATTGCTGCAGGATACAAAGATTCATCTCATATCCTGGCTGACAGCTCTAGCACAAAGCCACACAATGTCTGCCAGGGCTCCTTGTTAAATACTATATTGTTCTAGTGACTCAGTGCACTGGAATGTATCAGGTTTATTCATAGCTTTTCTGATAGAGTCTTTAGATTAGACACATAAACTTCTCCTTCTTAGAAAAGTCTATGGCTTATTATTATGTGGAGCATACAAAATTTCTAGTTTCTTTTCCGGGGTTATAAATCCAGAGAACTGAAGCAAAAGGACGGGCCCCTAGAAACCTAACGGTTCTTTCAAGCTTCTGATAAGTAGGATTGTAGGAACACTCGCGAGGAGAAAAAACAGGCATGCACCATGACCAAAAGTTACCATCAAACCGAAAGAGGACAGAAAAGTAGTGAAGATGGTCAAAGACATGGAGCTGAAATAATTAGGATGTTTTAGTCTGGAAAAGAGACCTCTGACAGGGGCCACCGTAGGGATCTACAGAACCCAAACCAGCATGGAATTGGCAAACGTGCAAACAACAGTTCCCTAACGGGAGCTTATTACAGTAAATTAGGTGGTGGCAGGTTCAGTTACCAAAAGGAGGTGGTTCATCACACAGAGTTATAGTTAATCTTTGAAATGCCTGGTAACAGGACAGAGGCCAAAAGTACACATGGGTTCAAATAAGAGCTAAATAAACTGACGTGAGATGAAGGCCATTTCTACTGGCCACTGCTGGATACAGGACAGACCTATGGCCTCCCACAGCTCAGGTGTTTTGTTTGTCATGTTCTGAGTTTTTAAATAAAGCAGGCAAGAATCAATGGCACCTTCTGAGAAGAGCAGCAGCAAGAAGCAGGAATTCATCTCCCCCATGGCCCAGTGTTCCTTGGGAGGACTGCAGGCAGGAGGTACAGGCAGCACAAATCCTCCTTGCAATAATGAACTGCTCTCATGTAGCCTGTTTAATTGCAGTTGCGAGGAGACAAAAGACCACAGAAGCACATACACAGCTAAACCCGGTGCTTGCGCAGGAAGCATCAGACCTACGCTCACGTTCATACAAATGATACCACATCCTCATAGGAAGGGACCTGCAATACAACCTCCCGCAATACTTAGTTCTGCTGCCAAGCCAGGAAGTCTCAGGTAATGCTTGAAGATGAGTCTCCTGAAAAAATTTTTACATTTCAGACGCAGTCCAGTTATTTAGCTATTTAGTGCTACAGAGACAGTCGTGCGTAAGAATGACTTGTTAACCCTTGAAAAAAGGTTATTTTCCCGTTCTGTTCCATGGCAATCACAGACTCTGTTTCTAGCATCTCTTCTGTTCCAGCTCTCTGCCAAGAACAGCCCTTCACTCAGCTATCTCCTGCTCACCTAATTCATACATGCAGTCTTCTTGCTTTAAGCACAAGCCTTCTGCCCTACAAAAGGACTCCAAACCTGAAATCCTTGTCTCCTATGTTCATTCTTCCAGTCGTCAGGCCCACAAATGCATAACAGCTTCTGAAGGTCAATGCTGAGCCTGCTACACACGACACCAGCTGTAATAAATGTTCTGCAGGCCAAATTATGCCCTCGGGGAAGCCTATGCAGCCCTGTGGCCTTCCGCGAATTGCACAGCTGTCAGGCTGCAACTTACTATGTTCTACTTAAGATATGCAAGGAGAAAGAGAATTCAATGGTATCGACTTATTTTAGCTACTGAAGTCAGCAGATCTGACTCTAAACACATATTGGGATTAGATATGTCGATTAAGACCATGGCACGATGGCACCATTGGTCAATAACGGCATAATTTGTTCTTCACATGACCTCTCTGCTACTTCCAGTTTTCTTATTCACCATCACGTTTGTTACAGCAGCTATGGACCAGCTGAGAAGAGAGTTCCCACTACATTTGGCACATAGCAAAAGTAGGGTAAAAAGGCTGCTCCAAATCCAGAAGTAAAACAAGCTAAATCAATATTGTAGTAAGTAGGAATAGAACATCCAAACTGAGGACATCCTGCGTGCCACGCTATACCGGTCAGATATAGGTGAAGTTAGGAAGCCACAAATAAGTAAACTTCTTGTTCCCCTTCTTTCACAGAAGCACAGGCATTCTCTGCCCTGCTCCCAGCTTGTATTTAAACCAACCTGCTGACGCACTCCAGTCTCAAAGTGTATTATTTCATCTGTGTCTTTCATTAACAAACATCCTCATTTTTAAAATTCATCATCCCATGTTATCCTTAGGGGAGTTGCCTGCTAGGACTGTTACAATAAACTAAATCGTGCAGCGGTCTCAGCCAGTCAGTGCAGCTCCCACACTCACCTGCTGCGCCTGCATTTTACACCCAGAAGTCGAGTGTCCTCCCAGCTTGCAGACCCTTACAGAAGGCAGTTAACTATTTCAGCCTGGCTATGCCACTGCACCAGATGGGCCATTAACCAGTACTTATGAGCTAAAGTCCCTCACAGCAGCAAGTTTTAAAATATTTGTAGACACCTCATAAAGCATGGGCTCGTTATTACAGGCCATTAGCGTGCATGCAAGATATTTTAATGTGTAAAAATTCCCCATGAAATAATGATTTTCTCCTCTACTTTCAGAAAAAAACTGCCATCCTTACCATGAACTAGGCAACACTTTCCAGTTCTTTTTTCTTACCCTTTCCAGCCCACAAGTCAAGCCAAGCCTCATTTGCCTGATTTCACAGCACGCCTTTATGAGTAACCCCTACATGTGCCATGGCAGGTCCCTCATCCGCCTTCCTCACCGAGTTCAACACCTCCGTCAAGGCTGGAATAGAGGTGAACCTTTGCTCTCCTGACCCTGGAGCCTCCTCTGCTCTGCAGCACAGGAAGCCGCACGTGATACATTGCTAAATTATGCGGCAACACCTTTAGCATTGATTCCCCACAGCCTTGAGCAGGTACAAGACATAACTGCACCAGTTCTGCGCTCTGCTGAAGTGTGCACACTACTGGAAGTGGGATACGAATAAAATTTACCACTTCAGATAAAAGGAGCTGGAGCGGACAATATTTGCTTCTCCCAAAACAAGAGTTAAGCCAAGGGAGCTTGTATTTCTAGGACAACGTTGTCCAAGCATGCAGACTTAATGCTGCTCCCCAGTGAAGTCAATTTTAAGCCAACATTAGGCACTACAGAAAATCTTATTCTTGAAATATTAAGGTACTCACTGTAGAAGGTGATCAACTGGAAAACTGGAATCTGTCCCTCTTCTGTACCCAACTCATTTGTCTGAAGCCTACTAGAGAGGAAAAAAGTTGTAAATATAGACAAAGCGACAAAAAAATTTAAAAAAAAAAAAAATAATCAAGAAGTAGGTCAGCTAAGCAATGCAAAACAGACACACACACACCCAACACTGAGGTCAAGAAAGAGAAAGAGCTTGCAAAACTCACAGCAAGGTCTCTCAAGCAAATGCTGCAATGTTTGAACAAAACTATGGCCCTGGCTGCCTCGGAAGGTTCTTGAGAAGGTCAGACCTGATCCAACTCAAAAGTAAAGCAAGATGTTTATATAAGAGTAGCAGCAATAGCTACCCAAGCCCGGTTACTACAGAGGCAGGGAATCACAGCTCTTTTGACACATGCTGATCACCAAGGCACCATCACACAGGTGGTCAAGGGCATTACACAGGGAAACAAATTTTGTACTCACTGGCCACAAAATCTACTTTATCAAGACACAGTCCTGAAGGGTTAGAGGGATATCATCTAGCATGCACCAAAGAGGTTCCTTTAATAGATCTGTTGTTTCAACTCACTTTATCCCCTTAACAAGGAGCCACTGAACTTAAACCCATTTTGATTAAGCAAAAGATTACCCACAGAACGGTGCTGGGATGCAGACAAAAGGAAAACCCATTGCTATACATACATACATACATCACACACAGACTAGTAATGCTTCAGGGAGACATTAAACCCCTGTTCTATTAATAGACACACCTATTAAGATGAGCATTAAATAGTTCCCTATGATGTAGCAAGACAACTGGCTACTTCAGTGAATTGGAATAGAAATAACTCCACATCTCCCTACCAACAAAATCCCAGTCAAAAAATTTGCCCTTAAAACAACAAGAGGTCAGTAAGGAGGGATGGGGGGCAGGAATGTTACTTCTGCAGTGCTATTGTATGCTTATATTAAAGACTCCTCATCAAAAAATTAAATGAAACGGATGCCTTTCATGTTTATCAATAACAGAACTAATGGTTTTTATGTAAATGCCATTACTTTCAGCCAGATCTGCAAGAGACTTGAGCCATGCAGCCCCATCTCCCCTTGCAAGCGACTCCCCTCCAGGCTGCCAATCTAAATGCAAATTATAATCAAACGGCAAAACCAAGAGTTTTCTGGATGATACTAAAAATGTAAAACTAGGGACAAAGCATACATATTTGAGAACAACCCACCTCTTCTGGAAAGACCTGCTGATCTCACATTGTTTTTTCATCCTGAACATACATAAAAATTCAAGTATAACTTGGTTCTTATTTATAGCCATATTATTTACCTATACAGCAAAGTTTATCGTCATCTTTCATTCATTGCCCTTGGTGTTAAAACAAGGCGTGGGGGGGGAAGTCTTTCTACCAAGTTGTAGAGAGAAGGTATCTCAGAGACATTACACCCACAACCGGATCATCCCATCAGCAAGGATATTACATCAGAGCATTAATAAAGCCCCAATTGGACTTTGCAGAACAAATGGCACTTCTGCATTTTCAGGGGGAAATTTCTCCTTGGAACAGAGTTGTTTGTCTGAGTCGGAGGAAGAAGATGTTATCACAGGATGGTTATGATAGATATAAAACTGTCCTCAGCACAAGGAGCACCATTCTTGTAGCGTAAAAGCTTTTCTGAAGAACACTTAAATCCTGACCCCTACCTGGAGCATCGATCAAGTCAGGTGCTTTGTCAGCACTGATTAAAACAAGCTACTAATGGCAAATCTGAAAATAACTAATATTAGAAACTGCACTACTTAGTAAGTAGAATGCATAGAGAAAAAACTAATAATTAAAGCAAAAGGCCAAAAATCTGACAACCTGACACAGCACAAGCCTGCAAGTGAGTCTCGGCGGGGACTTGCTCTAACTACCACAAGCAGCTAAACACCAAAACTACCGTTCCCAAGAGGGGCACGCACATCCTCGGAGGGATGCAGCTAATTAACAATACAGCTATATACACGCTCGTTACACGGGTGAAGAGCTTAGCACTTTGTATGTTTTGAAAGCGCGTACTACAGGAATAGTCATAGAGCAGAACCTCGCTAATTAACATTAATAACCGAGAGACCGCTTCTGCAAACGGATGGATTTTGCGAATTAGCCAGGGAGAGGATGTGCAAAGCTGGGAAGCAGAGAGACAACGTGGCCCAGCAGGCGCCTGGCTCACTTCTTTGGGTATCTATAGTTAAATAATTTATCATCGTGCCTCAATGTCTATGAGTGAACATGCAGTCTGTAAATAAAGCACCTTTTATTATGCAAGGCCCTGCTAAATTTGATTAGTAGGATTTGACTGCCTATCAGAGGAGGTCATTAAATTAAAGAACACAACCCTGACTACCTCTTCTCAGAAACTTTTCATGTGGGCCAGCATTTCAGAGACCTCATCAACTTCTTTTTCAGCTGCTCTGACATACTTCACGGTTAAGCAATTACTCATAGATCTATTGTTTTATACACCAAAACACTGGCTTTCAATCCTCAACCAAACTCAAAATTGCTACAGCTCCCCTCTCCTCCTCTTCCTCTCTAAGCCTGGGGAAGCAAGCCTCGGTGCGTAGCCATATGGTGGGTCTTCTCTAGGAAAAGGAGACTGGGCCCCCAATTTCAAGCTTGTCACCACACTGACCACATGCAGAATCAACCCCTGGGCGGTGAAAAAAGGACAAAACCCTTCCAAAACAAGCGCATCTTTTCTTTTCCCCAGTTTGGACAGTTCAGCAACGCAGTTCACAGTACAAGCCCACGAACAAATGGCCTGGCAGAAGCGGCGAGCAGCGGCACTGGGACACAAACGAGCGTTCAGGCATGGCAGCTCAGGGAGATGACTCTGCCGCTCCAGAAAACACGCTGTGCAACCACAGAGCGGTGCGTCGGTGACGGTGCCACTCAGCCACCCGGGATTTCACACCCAGCCACCATGTGCAAGCGTAATCTGATTTAGCAGTCGTATTCTGACTTCAGCTGTCAAACCGCAACCACGGTACATTTGCTGCAGCAGCGTGCGCAGCAGTGTGCTTGCAAACCAGAGATGTTCCTGTAGCAAAGCTATTTCCTCCCAGAACCAAAGGTTCAAAATCAGAAACAACCGTGCCCAGCTGTGTCACACACACCCCAGCTGCCACTCGCACGCTGCTGCACACAACCTCAACCACCTAAGAAGTTAGGTGGCAGAAGATTTTCCTTTGGGTGGCAGAAACTTCCAACAATCACTTGAATTATGCAATCTTGCAAAGGGAAGGAACAAAATTAGAAATATTTCCCCTTGCAAACTGCTTCCTAATGGCTCCTGTTCTTAGCTGTACAATACAAGGCCATGCTAAACTCCCTTTTTATATTTCCCCAAAACACTTTCTGTCATCACCCACCCTCACACCCAGCCTGTGGCTGCCACTGCTAAAGCCGAGGGTTTCCCTACGCAAGAGTTCAGGTTTATGCACGCCAAAATGGTCTGTTCAGCAGCCTTTTCTTACTGCCTTTTGTGAGAGGCTTCAAGCTATGATGAATGTGTAGAAATGCAAAGAAGTCCATACAAAAAGAAGCCAGTGTGTGAGGTGGTTTTGTCTTAAAAGAAGAGAGGCAGGAATGACTTATCGCCTCATTAAAGAGCTCCAGTCTGCATTTTTATTAGTTATATTTAGACACCAATGGTTAAAAAAAAAAATCAAAAAAAATAAAAAGCAGTCATATTTTAACATATGGCCCTAGATCAGTCACATGGATATAAATGAAAATAGGCACAGCAGATTCTCCAAACACAAGCATAGAAATAATTTCAATGGTGCACATGACCTAGAAAATTTCAAGTAATACCAATCGACACAAAGGTGCAGCAGGATTTAGCTACTGCAGGGCTGTGGCTGGTCCCCATTCTCTTGTGTCGCATATGCTTGTGCATATATCCCAGCCACTAGCAAGAGGCAGAAAGAGTAATTCCTGCTTGCTCCTAATGAACGTCACACTCACAAACCCTTTCTATCCTTCTTTCTAAGGGAAAGAAAGTGCCCTCAGCGCTGCCTGTAGGCAAAAGGTCCAACTAACACTGAACTTCGCAGCACACCGTACCTAAGGCATCTCCGCGTTTGCTCGAACACGGCTTGGAAACACACCAACAGAAGTGTTTTTCACCAGTCTCTTGCAGTACGATCTCACCACACCTTGCAGTTAAGGTATTTCTCCAATGCTCGTATTTCTCCGTTTTCTGACTTCGTTATGCCGAGTTTGAAGAGCCTGCAAGCTGTCCAATGCAGTGAAAAGGCAAATCACACTGTATTCATTTTCCACTGGAGAAACTGAGGCACAGAAGAGGCACATTGTGCCTAAATTCATTTCCTATCTCAGTGGTAAAACTGAGCTGATATCCCAGTATGCTGATTTTGGCTGGGATAGAGTTAATTTTCCCTGTAGTAGCTATTATGGAGCTGTGTTTTGGATTTGTGCTGGGAACAGTGCTGATAACCCAGGGATGTGTTGGTTCCTGC